CATTTCATTCTTCTACAGGTGGAGATCCAGTTTTGCTGGTACCATTTTCTGAAGATGCTGTCTTTCCTCCAGTGAATGTTCTTGGCCCCTTTGTCAAATATCAGGTGGCTGAAATTGCATGTATTCATGTTTGGGTCTTCAATTATGTTCCATTGATATATGGGTCTATTTTTGTTCCAGTACCATGCTATTTTTATGACTATAGCTCTGTAATATAGTTTGAAGTCTGGTATAGTAATCCCCCAGCATTGCTCTTTGTGCTCAGGTTTGCTTTGGCTATCAGAGGTCTTTTTTGCTTCCATATGCATTTTAGGATGTTTTTTCTAATTCTGTGAAGAATATCATGGGGATTTTGATTGACATTGCATTGAATCTAAATGGCTTTTGGTAGAATGGCCATTTTCACAGTATTAATTCTTCCAATCCATGATGAGCATGGTAGGTCCTTCCATCTTCTGGTGTCTTCCTCAACCTCTCTCTCTCTTTTTTTTTTTTTTTTTTTTTTTTTTGGTCTTTTTGAGACAGGGTCTCCCTATAGCCCCAGCTGTCCTGGATCTCACTATGTAGACCAGGCTGGCCTTGAACTCACAAAGATCCATCTGCCTCTGCCTCCCAAGTGCTGGGATTAAAGGTGTGGGCCACCTCAGTCTCTTTTTTTAAAATTCAAATTTTTCATTATAGAGGTCTTTAATGTCTTTCGTCAGGTTTAATCCGAGATAATTTATTTTATTTTATTTTTTGAGGTTATTGTGAATGGGAGGATTTCCTTGTACTCTTTCTCCAACTGCTTGTTATTGGTGTATAAAAAGGCTACTGATTTTTGTACATTAATTTTATAACCTGCCACTTTACTGAATGTGTCAATCATTTCTAGAAGTTTTCTGGTATAATTTTTTGGCATCTCTTAGATATCATCTGCAAAACTAAAAGGATAATTTGATCTCTTCTTTTCCAATTATTACTCCTTTAATTTCCTGCTCTTGTCTTATTGCTCTTGTAAGAGTTTCAAGCACTATGTTAAAAAGGAGTGGAGATAGTGGACAGCCTTGTCTGGTTCCTGATTTTAATGGGAATGCTTCCAGTTTTTCTCCATTTAGAATGATGTTGCCTGTGAGTTTGTTGTGTATAGCTTTAATTATGTTGAGGTATGTTTCCTCCAGTTCAATTCCCTCTAGGTCTTTGAACATAAATGCATGTTGAATTTTGTCAAAGGCTTTCTCTGCATCTATTGAGCTATCCATGTTTCCATTGTTGAGTCCATTTATGTGATTTATGATATTTATTGACTTGTGTATATTGAATCATCCCTTCATTTCTGAAATAAAGTCTACTTGATCATAGGAGCATGATCTTTTTGATATGTGCCTCTATGTGGTTTGTAAGTATTTTGTTGAGAATTTTTGCATCTATGTTCATTAAGAATATGTGTCTGTAGTTTTCTTTTTTGGTTGTATCTTTACCTGGTTTTGGTATCAGAGTGATGCTGGCTTTATAGAAGGAATTTGGAAATTCTTCCTCTGTTTCTGTCTTTCTGAATAAATTAAGTAGTATTGGATATAGTTTAAATGTCTGGTAGTGCCCGTCCTTGAGGGTGAAATAGGTTTCTTGAAAACAACAAAAAGATGGAATTTTTTTCTTAATTTGTTCAACTAGCCTGTGTCTTTTTGACTCAGGAGTTCAGTCCATTGATATTTAAAGTTGTTATTGAAAGATATGTATTGATTCCAGTCATTTTTTTTCTTTATTTTTTATTTTATGTGTATGAGTGTATTGTCTGCATGTATGTGAGTGGACCCGTGTCATGCAATGCCACAGAGGTCAGAAGAGGGCTTCAGATTCCCCTGGAACTGGAGTTAAGGACGGTTCGTAGCAGTCGGTGCTTTTAACTGCTGAGCCATCTCTCCAGCCCCAGTCATTTTAATTTCTGTTTGCATACTTGGTCTAACTGCATTTCCGTAGGTGTATCTTCATTTAGTTTCTTCCTCTTACCCCTTGTGTATGGTCGTTCTTTTCTTCAGCTCTTTGTATTGCTTCAAGAACTCTCTGAAGGGCTGGTCTTGTGGACATGAATTCTTTCAGCCTGTTTACGTCGTGGAAGATTTTTCTTTCCCCTTTAAGTATAATAGACATCTTTGCTGGATAAAGTATTCTGGGTTGGCATCTGTGGTCATTTAGAACTGGTAATAATTTGGTCCAGGCTCTCTGGCTTTCATAGTTTGAAAAGTCAGCTGTAACTCTGATGGGTTTTCCTTTTTATTTGTTCTGTACGTTTAGTGTTTTACTATGAAATGCCATGGGGAGTTTCTTTTCTGGTCCTGTCTGTTTGGTGTTCTGTATGCTTCTTGTATTTGTATGGGCATGTCTTTCTTTAATTTTGGGAAATTTTCTTCTACAGTCATGCTGACGATCTGGTCCATACCATTACCCTGAGATTCTTCTTCCTCTATACCCATGATGTGTAAATTTTGTCTTTTCGTAGTGTCCCACATTTCCTGCATATTTCATTCCTGTGATTTCTTCAGTTTTTCATGATCTTTGCTTGAATGGACCAATTCATCACCTTTATTATCCAATCTTATATTCTGTTTTCCATTTCATTCATTCTATTGGTGAGGCTTTCTCCTGTTGTTTCTAATTGGCTTACTGAGTGTTTCACTTCCTTCTTCATTTCAGCCTGAGTTTTCTTCAATAGTTCTTTTTTATGAATTCAGTCAGAAGTTTATTCCTATCTTCTTTTAGGTCTTTGATTTGTGTGCTCTTTAAATTCATTAAATTCTTTGATCATGTTATAATTGTTGTTTTAAATTCTGTGTCCTGGGTTATCTCTAGGGGGTTCTCATTGTAGAACTCTTCTATAGGACTGTTGGTGTTTGATGGGGACATATTATTTGAGTTTTCATGTTTATTACTTTTTTATTGTGACTCTGGCTTGTGAATTTCTGTTTTGTTTCTGATTCTGGTGTGAGACTCAAGCCTTCCTTTGTTGAGTTTAAGTCTGATTTTGTTTGTGTACTTAATGTGCCTTTGTTATTTTCCTATTGGATATGAAAAGCTGGTTAGTCTCGGCTTCCGGTTCTCTATGGATTTTATATTAGAGGGACCAGATGGCTCTAGTCTAGCTACTCAGGAGTTCCCAAAGAGGCCCAAGTCAGATGAAGATCAGCTTAGGCTTCCTCCTAAGTTCTGGGCCCCTCTAGTTAGCAGGTACATTACAATTTGGGAAGCCTGCTATGCTAGGTGGAGGTTGAATTCAGGTGACCTCAAGCAGTTTGCAAATGTCTGGGCGTCTACTAGAAGACAGAGAAGTCTAATGCTGCAGCAGTGGGAAGGGCTCTAGTTGGTCCTAATCTAGGGGGATGGACAAGTCACAATTTGGAAACCTAACAGCCTCATAGAGTTAAGATGGTAGTCCAGAATTCTGGGGTGCTGAGAACAAAGGTGGGCCTGCATCCAAGGCTAGAAGAACGGGGTGTGGGGTCCGGGAGATTGTAGTTGCTCAGGTTGTGGGGGTATCAAGGAGTCTTGGGTGGGATTGGACTTACCAGGGAAGAAAGATGGTCTCAGGTGTGCAAAGCCAGGTTGTGGAGGGGTGGGGGCAGCCTCTAGAGGCGCTAAGAAACTAGACTCATGTACTGAACTGGTCTGGGTGCAGGTGATCAGGAGGCAGTGGGTGAATCTGGACTAATAGGGTAGTTCAGAGATCTGGGTTGCTAAGAACAGAAGCAGGCCTGTGTCCAAGGCTAGAAGAACAGGACGTGTTGTTAGACCAAATTTTTATGTCAGAATCTGTTGGAGGGGGTAGATATTGCATACGTGGAGAAAAATCTAAGGATTTTTAAAGCTGGCCAACCACTGAAATAGCTTTTAATCTTTTTTAAATATCTTAAACAACTTCAGTGTAATTACTACAAGAAAATGTTTAATGCCATCCCAAGATAGCCTTAAGGAAAGCGTTGATTGATAAACATGAAATGCCTTAATAAAATTGATTTTTAAGCCATACCCTCATGTCCTTTCCACACCCTGGCACAGTCCTGAGGCTCCTGCTCTGACCTATCAGCTGCTTAAAAAGCACTGCAATCATACACCCAAAGTATTAAGCTCTCTCTCTCGCTCTCTCTTTCTCTCTTTCTCTCTCTCTCTCTCTCTCTCTCTCTCTCTCTCTCTCTCTCTCATCTCTGTCTCCCTCTCCCCCTGCCCGAGGGGAAATTATGTTTTTAGCATTGTTTATGCATTTCTCAGTCTGCTGCAGATTTTCCATTTCACAGCAAAGGAAACCTGCAGGTGGGAAGCAGATGTGAACACACTGAGCTCTCATTTGGGCTTTAATTCAGGAAGTTGGGATCCCAAGGGTTTTGCTGGAGGCTGGCAGGTCAGGCAGGCCAATCTATGATTGACAAGGATTTGTTTTGGGATTGTAAAAGTAACACCTGTCAACATAGTGCCAGACAAGTGGGAAAGTTGTTTGCATGGTTTAACTTTTTCTGATCAAGAGTTATCTAGAGAGATGTCTACTAATCTTGTTTCCCAAACATTTGACAATCATTCAGTTGGCAGTCATCAGTGTGCCCTTAACAAAGGAACACTTCCATTTATAACTTCACATGCTGAAATTTAAGCAGACTAACTAGGAAATTTTTAATTAATGTGGATGGATTTTCTGTGGTCATTTTTGTATGTAGAGAAATGGGTACAGTAGATTCTCACTTTAATCTTAATACATAAGACTAAGATGCCACCTTCCTTGTGTGTGTCTGCCAAGTAGCAAGCAGTGTGCCACAGGTCTGTGGTTCCTGTGAAGAAGGTGAAGCCTAGGAGTGGTGGTAACTTAGCGTGGAAGAACACAGCTATTACTGTGTGACCTAGTGCTCTGTCCTGTTGGTGGTTCTGGTAACAGCTCTTGCAAAAATGTTTCCTTTGTGGTCTGATCTCAGATAAAGGGGTGATGCTGCTTGGAGGAATTTTGAACCTTGTGTAACTGTCATTATCTTGTTTCCTAGCATCCTCCAGGCCAAACAGCGAGGAAATACAGCTCCTGCTCCACCATCTTCCTAGATGACAGCACAGTCAGTCAGCCGAACCTCAAGTACACTATCAAATGGTGGGTGTGCAGACTTTTCCTTAACCTCACCAAGGCTGGTTGGTTGTGGGACCCGGGAATAATAAGGCAGGGGTCACTGACAGTTGGGGGATTCTTTTATAAAAACTGGCTTTGGTAGTTAAGATGTGGGATATTGTGAATATTTGTGTATATTTCTACTTATATATAGATAAAGCTTTTTATTTTAAATAAAAACCTAGTGAGTGTATGTGTGTACACATACTTTTGCCTTTTTGCTTTTGACTGAAGCCGTCTTCAGGCAGTGCTGATGGTATTTTGACTTGAAAATGAAATGACAGCCCCCCAACCCCAGTCCCAGGTCGGGACTCAGGCTGTACCTGCCTAGAATGAGAAGGTCTGACCTTGACCCTCTTGGTGGCTGAGAGAAGGGATTTAAACAGGACCCTACCTCATGGAGAGAATCCTTGTTTTAAAATGGACTGGAGAGTCTTTGGGTCACATCCTTTTCCTTGTGAGATTCATTTTCCTCATTTGAGGAGGCAAAGAGCACTGGTTTTCCCTATACTGTCCCCGTCAGTGCAGTGACAACAGCCACCTGTGGCAAAGGTCTCAGAGGACTTGGGGCCTAGAAGTCAGCAACTCAACTGAAAATCTGGGACATTTTAATCTCTGCGCCTGTCTAAGAAAGCACACATCTAATAACAACCTGTATTAACACATGGAGTAAGTGCTGAAATTCCTACATTTGAAATGTTCTGTTTTCGTGACCAAATTTTCTGACCTAGAAGCACTGTTCAGGGTTATATGTGCCAGGCACTGCTTTGGTCAGGCAATGAGGACTGCAACCAGCTTCTGCAGTCGGCGTCCAGTCCAGTGGAAGGGCAAAGCCAATACTGCTTGGGTGTGGATGCTTGTTTACATAGGGTATCTTTCTCTTTTATGCCAATGGTGGTGATGACCAGTGGGCATAAACCTAGATGGTCTCCATGGAAGCTGGGAAGAGACACACCATAGAGCGTAGTGCAGTTATCTGGGTGACCTCACCTGAGCCACTCACTCCCGTGGAATAAAGCTCACTGCTGGGGAATGGGCAGTATAGAAGAGCCTGTGGGAGGTGTTTTCTAGACAAGTTACTAGGGTTTGTGGAAAGAAGTGGAAAAGCTTAAGGATCTTTGGTACCTCATCAAGGTCTGAAGAGCCGAGAGTGAAAACTGTCAGCTTCCTTTAAACCCCAGATCTTCTTACTAGTAGCAGGACAGAACAGAGGATGATGGAGTTGCATCCAGGGGTAGTAGAAGCTCTTCAGATTGATCAGTGGATCAAAGTCAGTTCTCCATCTTCACGCTTAGGTGATTTAACATTGCCACTGGTTCTGACAGACACTAGGAACCAGGTGGGAAAATGGGATGACAAACCTGAGAGATGTAGTCACCTGGGAGCCTAAGAACATCCTATGCTGTGATGCCTCCCATACCGTCCTGGCTAATCCCACCTAGGGTATGGCCTGCAAACCTGGACTTTGAAGCTACTGTAGGAGAGTCTTGAAGGCAGCCAGGGGTCAGGACATCAGATATATGGGACAGCTGTCCTCTCTCCCCCACCAGCTGCATCTGAACCAGACATTTTCTCTGCACCACCTAAACTTGAAATTCCTTCATTTGGTAGTTCTATTGCTTTTAAAAGGTGCCCATTCTTTGAAATGGATGTCTAGGAGCTGGATAGGCTAGGTCATCAGAATCTTTATCAGGTGCCATTAATTCTTGCTTGTCTGTGATAAAGAAACTGAAGTGTGAAAAACTCTAGGTAGTAGCTGGCCTGTTAAGCCCTCCAGCCTGAACTTCAGCACACTAAGAGAGACACGGAAGGGAAAGGAGAGGCAAAGGGGATAGGAAGACAGTGCATCCCAATGCCAGCCCCATCTGCTTTTAACTAAGTCCTGTTTCCTTTTCTGATTTGTCTGCCTCGCCTAAATCCAAGACCCTCTTATCGCCATTCTTGACATTAACTGAACCCAAAACCGTTAAGGCCAGCTCAGCATTCTTGTGAGTGTCTGAGCACCTCTGGGTAGAACATTCTTTCTCTAAACCATCTGCTGTTTCTGTGAGGGAATACTCTGAATCTAAACCACCAATTTGTAAACTTATGACATCCCTCCTGTAAATTGGAATTGCTAAAATTAACAGGCAGATTTACAAATTCTGCCAGGGGATTGGGTAACTGGACGGTTGGCTAGGGGTAGTATAGCAGCAAGGGAAGTGTAAAGGTGGGCTCTGCTAGAGGATAGATGGTGACCTGAGAGTGAGGGAAGTGGAAGTGTGAAGGTGGCACAGGTCATGCTCTCTTCCAGTGGGCATAGTCCCAACTTTGAAGACTTGGTTTCCTGTTTGGCCCTAAATGCCTAAATGTGGTGTAGAGTTTGAGTTACCAACCATCTCCATGTCTCTACCATTAGCTCCCCCTTATAAATCCTAGAGCAATTGTAAATGATGGCTAAAGAGGAACAGGAGCCCAAGGCCTCACTTCCACTGTTGTCTAGGACGGCCACTTATCATCATCAGGGGTCTTAGGGTTGCTGTTGCTTTACTAATGCAGCTCTGGTTAAGGAGTAAGGTGAGTGCAGTCTAGCAGTTACAGTTTGGCCTGCTGTCAACACAGGAATAGTCCTCTAATGCCACCTGTCCTTACCAAAAAGCACAGGGACCACTCACCACATTGTAACCACTTGATGAATGAAACACTAGTTATTCCCTTCTCAGTGTCTGAACCTGAGCTGTCTCATTTAGGTAACAGGATCTGTAACAGGGCTGTGAATATATGGAAGACACTGAAAGGCCTTTCACCCCAGTCATAGTCCCCTCATCAACTCAGATGCCTTTGTAGATATTAAGAGGAAGGAAGGCCCTGTTGTTGCCCTTCAGTCATGAGTACCTTCACACTTAGTGGAGCTCATCTGAGTCACTGGATCTGGAAGAGACATGAGGCCTCAATATAAACCTGTGCCAGGGCCTGCCCAGCTCAGTCAGTAAGTCCCAATATATACCTAGCTCCTTGGGGCCCTCAGAGCTGGCTCAGGTCTCTGCTGTCATCCCTCCAGCCATCTCCCCTGTTGGTTTCCTGAAGAGCACACTCAAATCCTGCTGTGTTTTCAGAAGCTAAGAAAATCATTTGGGGGCATTTTAAACTAAAACAAAACATAAACTAAGACAAAAGGAACAGAAAGAATTAGATAGTTGGGGCTGGAGAGATGGCTCAGCGGTTGAGAGCACTGGGTGCTTTTGCAGAGGACCTCCATGGGCATGACACAGGTTCACATACATACATGTAGGCCATATATTCGTACACACACACACAAAAAAATAACAATAAAGAATTAGTTCCCAAAACAGAGGATTTTTTTTTCAGGTGAGGAGAGGGAGTTTATAAATAATTTTATGCTAGTAGACTGACCCATGGATCGTTCCATAAGAGAGTCAGTGCCCCTTCCAGTTTTGGGGGGCTTTTATAGTCATATATGAGGAAATGCAAGCAAAATGTAAAACAACACATAGGTGACAATATAAGTAAAAACGTACATGTTATAATTAAGCAAGGTAACATATGGCCACAAAGATGTTATAGGAATGTGAAAACTTTGGAAAACAAAGAGTTGCATCCTGGGCAACGACAGGGGGCAGGGAAAGACTCCTGCTCACCTTCCTTATACCTATCTCTTGTACAAAACAGAAGAATTTTTTAAAGTTAGCCAGTCAGCATGAATAATCCTGACAACTCAATTGTGATCAAACCACCTCCTTTCCTATTCAGTAGGAGGTTTTATCCGAGTACGGAAGGTGAGTGTTGGGGCCTGAAGTGAAAAGACATTGGTAAGGAGTATGTCGATCATCCTCCTGCAAAGATACTTGCAGTGTGTAGTAGAAGCCTCCCAGCTACCAAGTAATTCTATTACAGGATGTTTTCTTACAGAAAGAGTTTAAACAGAGATTGTACAAATACCTGTGAGTCTGTTCATTATGGTGTTAATTACTGAATACTACAGACATCTTAAATAATCAGTACCAGAGAATGATTAAGAAACCATTCAGCAACCATCATAGTGGTGGACTGTAACTAGCTATTTAAAATCTTGTTCTTCGAGGCCTCACGTGTGCCAGGGAAGCACTCTGTCACTCAGTTACACTTCCAGCCACTAAAAATTTATTTATTTTTACCTGAAAACAAGAATAAAAGTTGTACTTAACAATAGGACACCATACAATCTTTCTAATACACATGTGTGATGCTTAATCTCAGGTTAAACATATTTATACCCTTGACCATTTATCATTTCTTTATGGTGAACCTTTTAAAAATCATTTCTCATAGCTTTTTAAAATGTAAAGTACATTATTACTATAATGCACCAGAATTTATATTTTATATTTTATATTTTGTTTTTATCCAAATTTATCTTAACTAAAATCAGAATTCAGTAAAAGTTCGTGTATTCAAAACAAATAAATAAATAAAATCTTGTTCTTGAGGAATATCTCATAAGGTAAGAGAAGCATTAACATGACAGGGATAAAAGCACAGGATGTCAGCCTCTTGTTCACACATTATATAAGCAGAAATGCTAACTGAGTCTCTCAAGCTAATAGTAGTTATTTAGGGGCAAAAACGTTATTGTTTTTATTTTTGTTTTTGAGACAGGGTCTTGAATTAGGAAGGCGTTATTTTAGGAAAGAAAATTTGAGGGGAAGGAAATGCTTACTAATTCATGTATTTTAAATTTTAAAATGCAGTTTTAGGGTAGTACTTACAGTACCATTTCAGGAAATGAGTCGCTGAGCTGCTAAGCAGGTCTAAGAGAAAAAAAAATACAATCATTGTTGGTGTTACTCATTATTTTTCTAGTAGTTCTAAAGAAAGTACTGATCTGCTAACCCCGTAGGCAGTAAATTGGAGATTCCTGAATAAGTTTAATTTGTACCACTTTTCTATAGTATCCACACTTTACAAGTAAGGAAAGCTTAATATTTGATAGAAAAGTGGTTGCTTCACGGTCTCCCTCAACATGCACTATTGTCTCCAAAAAACCATCTCACAATTCCAGGGAGTGAGCTTATGTGGAGGGTATTCTCATCAGCACTCTGAATGAAAGGGGCTCTCCATATGGACTGTGGGTGGGGTTTGGGGTTTTTTTTTTTTTCAGTCTTTTTGACTGTGTGGTTTTTAATCAATGTAAATGCTGATGCTCTGACTGATAGCATCTAGTGAATGAAATGGCCTGACCAGTGTGTATGGACCAGTGAACTCTTGTGTTTTATTTTACAGTGTAGCTCTTGCAATATATTATCACATCAAAAACAGGTATGTGACTGTATCGTTCTTTGCTAAAATGTGCACGTTATATTCTATTATGCTTTTCCTATCTTTCCTATCTTTGTTGTCTCAGCATGTTTTTATGGAACTTGTAAAGACGATATAATTCATCAGACCTCTCAGGTAAGTACTGAACCAGGGGCACCACGTGGTGATTTGTGATAGTATAGGCTTCTTGAGAAGGCTCAACTTCCTCTTCACTGTTTACCTTCTGTGTAATTTAATTAAACATTCTCTTTAAAAAATGTTTATAGTTTGAATTCAGTTAGAAATTTTGACATACAAAATAGAAACTTGTTTACCATAGTAGAGGCTTTTCCTCATAGAAATCTCCCTGATATCACACAGTGGTTTGGTTAATTTGAAAAGTCAGCTACAATGGGGAGTTTTTTTTAACCTACCTAAACATTTTAACATAAAACATGTAAGCTGGGGTTGTAGAGGTTAAGAGCAGCTAAGAGTGTTTGCTGTTCAATCATGAGGAACAGAGTTTAGTTCCTGACACCCATATTGGATGACTCACAAACACCTGTAATTACAGCTTCAAGGAATCCAGTGCTCTCTTTTGGCTTCTGTGGGCACCTACACATACATATGCATACTATGACAAAGATGACGCAGACTCACCCATGCATATTGAAAAAGGAGAACGGTAGGGCAGGAGAGATTGCTGAACAGTTAAAGAGTGCATAGAGCTCTTACAGAGGACCTGAGTTGGGTTCCTAGCACCCACATCAGACAGCTCACAACCACCTGTAACTCCAGCTCCAGAGAGATCCAACATCTCTAACTTCTGTGGGTACCTGCACAGACACACAGAAGCACGCGTAACGTAATTAAAAATAATAAAAATAAATTTTTAAAAAAGAAAAATACAAGCCAGGTATGGTGACAAATAATAAAAATAAATTTTTAAAAAAGAAAAATACAAGCCAGGTATGGTGGCGCATGCCTTTAATCCCACCACTTGGGAGGCAGAGGGAGGCGGATCTCTGTGAGTTCAAGGCCAGCCTCGTCTCTATAGGGAATCCAGGCCAGGGGCTACAGGGAGACCCTGTCTCAAAAAAAGAAAAAAAAAGAAAAATACATGTAATAATGCTTTCAGTTGTCAGTTTGCTTTAATTCTACTTATGATCTGGGATGTGAGGCCACATCTGTACTCCATCCTTTGCAAACGTTTTCCTGAGTAATAATGAGGAACCGTAAAGACATCTGCGGGACAAAGTATAGAATCTTCAGTTTTCACCTCAATTAAACTGTGGCAGGCTTCTGTTCAGTTATTTCCTTTTATTGGGCTTTTCCAGAGCATCCTTTTAGCTTTTATAAGAGCATCAGCCATTCTTACCACAGTTCTAGTTCGTGGTTTATGTCATGTTTATAGATACAAGAGTAACAAGTGCAAAAACTAATTTGGGAACAGGAAAGGCCACCACATGACCAGATGGGTCTCAGTAAGTCGACAGCGAGTTGTGGGAAGGTCACAGAGTACAGAGTGGATGACAGCTTCTAGCCAGCAGTGTTAGGAAAACGTAAGTCAGAAGCAGGCACCTGGACAGTGTTCTCTACAGTGAATTATTTCAGTATTATAATTGTAATTTGTGCATATCTGGACACAGTGAGAGTTTTAGATATAAGAACTTACAAAGAACTTACAAACTTTGGAACTCTTGAACTAGAATGACAATGAAAGTGCAATTTTGTCCTTTATTTTTGTGTTTAAGTTCAAACTTCTAAAACACTGAAGCCTAAGTGACATGTGATCAGTAGTCAAAACTCAGATGTGCTTTCAAACCAGTTTTCCATTAGCATCTTTAAGAGATTTCTCAGTTCTTGCTTTTGTTTTCGCTTTAGTGCTGGGGATTGAGCATGGCTACACAAATGTTAAAACATGTCTTTTCTCAGTGAGGTACACCTAGGTCCATCCTGGATTTCAGTGCCCAGAGTATGGCAAATCCCAAAGTCAGTTTAGCCATAGATGCTGATAATAGGCAATTTTATTAATTACTTCCTCAGACATCTCTTGTTATACTTTGTGCAAATTATCTCATTGAGCTTTAATAACAGTTTCTGTTGCTGCATGCAGGAATGGACTGAGCTATTTCTTAATTCAACTATTTAATTTTTACAGCGATGCTAAATTTATAAAGCAAAAATTGGGATGTTTGACGTGATAGATATATTTAGAGGCAAGTCTGTAAGCCTGGTGTTCTTAAGCTGAGTCCAGACTGGGTACACAGATTACAAATTATGTTTAACCCAAAGCACTTGTTCACAAATGTGCTTTTAAAATAAAATATATAGATAAAACTTAACTTATATTAAATCTAATGTATACCTGTCACTGAGATGAGATACTCTCTGTAGAGACCAAAACTCCAAGGCCCTGAGTAGACCAGAGCCCAGCATCTCAAGACACTGTGTAAACCAGAGACTAGCAGCCCACTGTGCTGTGTGGGACAGAGCCCAACATCTCAAGGCACTGTGTAGACCAGAGGCTAGCAGCCCAAAGTGCTATATGGACTGGAGGCCAGTAGTTCACTGTGTGGTATAGGCCAGAGAACAATAACTGCTGTGCTATACAGACAGAGGCCAGCATCTTAACGCACTGTGTAGACCAGAAACCAGCAGCTCAAAGCACTGTATAGACTAGAGACCTGCAGCCCAAGGTGCTGTGGATCACAAGGCCAACAGCCCAAAGCAGTGTGTGCTCCAGAAGCTAGCAGCCCAAGGCATTGTACATCTGAGGCCAGGAACCCAAGGCACTGTATACCTGAGACCAACAGTCCAAGGTGCTATACATACTACAGTTTACTGTGTATGTGAACAGGGCTGGCAGCCTAATCAGCTGTGTGGACCATTGCTTCAAAATACTTTTCGCAGTCCTTGTATATAGGACATGTAAAATAGACAAACATTTACCGATGGAAGTCAAAAAATTTATTTCAGTGCAAAACATACAATTTTACCGCTTATTAAAGAGAAAAGCAATTTTGCATACTGATGAGAGATGTGTTTATTTTACATAAAGAATTAAATCCTGGCTGAATATTTGATACTACAGGACAGAATTTAAAGTGCTTTTCTGAATTTACTGATTCTTCTTTAACTTTAAATGCTGAGAACCCTGTTTCACATAAATGCATAGTGTGAAATGGCAGAAATGTGTTGAGGGTCATTTCAGAAATTGTTGGAAATTCTGTTCTTATCTCATGCCAAAATTCACTGATAGTTTATGAAACTTAAATCAGCAACTCAGGCTTCATTTTTCAAGATGAGGTGTTACACCACAATATAGTCCAAACAGATGCTGATTTGATACTTTCATTGACAGTAGGAAAACATTAACATGATTAATTTTTTGTAATTAAACCATTGTTTCATGAAGACTTGTATGTACAGTAGAAACACTGCAGTTCATAGCATAGGATAGTCTTCCATCTCAGCTGCGATGTCATCAGCCCTTGTATGACATGACGATAGCATGAGAGGTGCAACGTACACATCTGCGTTCAGAACACAGACTGCAGTAGAGTAGATTCCACACAGGCTAATGCTGCTAGAGACATCTCAGATTCACCTTGCCTTTGATTTTGAATTAAGTTTTTTCATTGGACATTCAGAAATGTTTTACTATTGCCAAAATTTTCACATTCCCCAGATTCAGTATGGGACATACTCTGGGTTGTGACTCACAGTTTTAAGAAGCTGTAGTATAGATAGTGAACCTCCTCACTCTTTAACTGTTCTCTGCATTTGCCACCCTAGAGACGAGTTTCTTTCATAGGTGATTGTGCGAATCAGTACTAAGTTGTGAGCCTTAATTCCTGAGTCAGTGTGTTATAACTACTTAAGACCGATCTCTAGGACTCACCGCATGCCCCTTCTACTCAGACTGCTCTTTGCTCAGAAATAAGATATTAAAAGAAAAGGCGCTAGAGAGATGGCTCAGTGGTTAAGAGCACTGACTGCTCTTGCAGAGGACCCGGGTTCAATTCCCAGCACTCACATGGTGGCTACGAACCGTCCTTAACTCCAGTTCCAGGAGAATCCAAAGTCCTCTTCTGACCTCCACGGCATTGCAAGACACAAGTGCACTCACGTACATGCCGGCGATACACTCATACACATAAAATAAAAATAATAAATAAAATAAAAAAAAAGTCGTCTTAGATTTGGTTCATTTGAAAAGTAATAGGGAGTCATGAGAGGGGAAGTAGAGAGTGAAGGGAGGTGTGAAATAGATAAAACAAGGGCTGCAAACTAGGATAGAAAAGCAGTGAGAGTAGGGAGGAGACACAGGAAAGGGGAGAGTGGGAACAGTGAGTAGATGAGAACAAAGTAGCACATCCCTGAAGCTGTCCTGAGAAACCCATTACTTTGTATGCTAACCTAAGCAATTAAGGAAAAAGAAAAGTTAGAAAAGTAGATTCTACATTTTTGCTTGATGTAACTAATTGTTTTGGTTTCTAACCTTTATTTCTGTGAACTATTTAAACAAAAATGATTAAATACTGTTCCCAAGAAAACAACTCACTGACAAATCACTAGTAATATCTTACGTTTAGCACCGCTTCTGTCTTTTGAACTACAGTTGAATTAGAATGTGCGTATGTTTCATTTTGAATCACATTCATTCTGAAGAAAATAAATTTCCTTTTTCTGTTGCTTTCCTTTCCAGGGACCCGGATGGAAGAATGCTCTTAGATATTTTTGATGAAAACCTCCACCCTCTTTCGGTAATCTCATGTTTCCTGAGCAGTTTAGTTAACTTATCTCCTGTACTTATTATAGGGTAGCAGTCATCTGAAAACTTCTTTTTTCCTAGAAATCCGAAGTGCCACCAGATTATGACAAACACAACCCAGAGCAGAAGCAGATTTACCGGTTCGTTCGGACACTGTTCAGTGCTGCTCAGTTGACAGCTGAATGTGCCATTGTCACCCTGGTGAGTGGAGGCAGCAGGGACTCTTATCAGGTGACCCTAGGGAAACTTGTGGAAGTTTCACTGTCTTCTGGGAGAGTAGAGGAGAGATATCCCAAAAGATGTATCTCCTCTTAAAGTCGTGTGAAGGCCTGCCCACTCAGAGCTAGTTAATGCAGAAGTGCTCTGTGCAAGTGAGTTCAGTAGGCTGAGTTGGAATACTAAGTACAGGGAGCATCATCTACCAATGTCTGATTTCCTCTTGTTCACTCCCTTCTATGATTTTAATGACAAGATGCAGTGAATCATAGTATGTCCAAGGTGTGTGAAATGCCAATGAAGAACGTGATTGAAGTGTGGTGCGGTACATCCATGGCTAGATGTAGCTCTGTATAGGAAGGAGTGTGAATATTACTAGCTTTTGATTTGTTACTTTTGTATAAATATATGTCTGTAGGACATCTAGACAATAAAAAGTAAACCTGTATTTCAAGACTTCAGAAAGAGAAAAATCTCTAGGATGCTAAAACTTCATGGATTGTTTAGAGCAAAACTGTTTGGGAAGTAGGTTTTAGCAGTGGAACTCTGTCATCCCTTGCCTGTGAAGGAGCACACCTAGAGATCAGAATATGGCTCCCTAGTTCTGGGGAGACTTATCTAGCAGAATGCTCAAGGCAAGCCTAGTCCTGCATCCCTCCACACTAAACTTTGTACCCTGGGTAACTCAGCAGTAGGCCATTTGGTCATTATGTCTTCCCTTTGCTGATTTCTCCTGTCTCGCTAGCTGCCTGCATGGTAGACTTGTAGAGGTGACCTTTGGGGATTCAGAATGATCATGGGTTCTGAGGTCAGTCAGAAAAGTATGTTCAGCCTATTTCCAAAATGATTTCACTTTCTTACAAAAGTGGAGCCAGCAGCAAGGGTGATATTTTTATGTAGGGAAATAGGGTTGAAGGGAAAAGAAAGGCTAAAAAATCAGGAAATCATTAATGAGATTTTGTTAAGATTTCCTGCTGAAAAGAAAGCATTAAGAGTCATTAATGTAAATACCAAAATTTACTTAATTAATGGGTTTCACTGTGACTTTTCCAAAATCATGCCATAAAAATACCAACATTATGATTTGGTCATGTTAACTCTCCTCATCTTCTGTCTGTTCTCCCCCATTCTACTTCTCCCTGTTCCCAGACCTCTATGCCATCCACGGGCCGGTCCTAGAAGCAGCCCCTTTCTAGGGACGAGCCTCATGCCTGCCTGTGGTCCCTTTTTGCTTGATGCTCCACTTTTCAATTATTCTTTTTTTCCTGTTGCATCTTTAGATAGATGGTGACCTTTTTCCAGGGCTACAACAATCTAACCTTTTAGGGCAGAGGCAGAGAGTGTTGTTCTAATTCCAAGTTTGTTTTAGGTGTGAATATGTATTTGTCTTCTCAGTCATGTTTGAGGTTTCCTTAGTTGCCAGTCTTTGCTACGTAGTAATGTAGACAAGGGCTTTCCAGTGTTCGCAGAGCAGGTAGAACCCAGACTTCCTGATAGGAGTCTCAGTTAATGCTAGATAACTCTATTTTCTGTAGAAGCTCCAAGGCAGATAAAGCCTGTGCTACCATTTTCACTTTAGCCTGTATGTAGGGAGCCTTCAAAGGGTTTCAGATTCACTGGTATGATAAAGTATCATGAACTGAGTGGCTTTTCAAAAACAAAAATTACCTTGGTTTTGGTAGCATGTACCTAGAATCCCAGCCATTTGGGAGGCTGAGGCAGGAGGATGACTTAAGCCCTGGAGTTCTAGGCCAGCATGGGCAACATAGAAATCCTAGGAGGTGGACTTTGGGGGAGGGTGAGTACCATGCTGGAGGAGCTAAGACTTGCACATTGCTAGGGCAGTAGCTCTAATAGATCTGTCACTGAGCTACATCCCTTGTTGGCTGATGGGAAATCCTATAGCATCAATACTAAAAGTCCAAATGGAAAAGTTATAGAAAGCTTATAAACAGGAAGTTATCATTACTCCTTGAAAATAATTTGGTTTTGGCCACAAAGGTTACAGTTCAATAGAGCATTGTTGAGTGCTGAGAGTTTGGATAATTATTATGCCCAAAATAGTATGCAATAACATCTAAATTAGGATATAATTGGGAATGGAATGGCGCTGCCAACTCTTGTCTGCCTCTGTCTCTAACGCTCTACCTCCCTCCCTTTCTCCTGCCCTACCTCCCTCCCTCCCTCCCTCCTTCTCTCTCTCTCTCTCTCTCTCTCTCTCTCTCTCTCTCTCTCTCTTAAGACAGGGTCTCCCTGTAGCCCCTGGAACTCACTGTATAAGACCAGGCTGGCCTCATCTTCCAGAGATCCACCTACCTTTGCCTCCTGAGTGCTGGGATTAAAGGCATGAGCCATTGTACCCGGCGTGTAGCTTTGGCATATAGCTTTATCTTGATCTGCACTATATCTTGCACTCTTGAACTGTATTGGAGCTATCTCTGATTGACGAAAACAGCTGCTAAGATGGCAGAATTAATACCCTAAAAGAAGTTGTATCTTATTTTAATTCAGACCATATAGCTGACCTCACAAAATCAGATTGGAATAATTTCCCCATTGTTGTTATTTTGTTTATATTTGTCCTTCATTTGGTGAGCTAACATATCATTCCCCCTCCTAAAATGCCTTTGAGAACTTTCTCTTTTTTGCAGTCAACTGAGTACTTTGTAGTCCCATAGTTGTCACTAATGTGGCTGTCTAGATTCCTTAGGGCAGTCTCCATGAGTGTAATGTGAGAATTTAATTGAACAGTGTCCTATTAGCACTGCCTAGAGGTACTGTCCAGGAAAACCAATTATATGTTATTTTACTTGGTGGAAAATTAAAGTACGCTAATGGGACTTCACCAAGGAACGTGGCTTCGTTGGCAAGTTCTGCTCAGTCACAGCTAGGAGGGGGGAGCTTCCTGTGAATGTCTTTTCTCCAGCATAACAACCATTTTCCTTACATGTAACATGTGACTTCTCCTTCCTTCAGTAAGCCCTCAGAAGATACCACATATCATACATCACTGTTTTTATTTTTCAAACACCATCTAGTATGATATTAGTACCCATCAACCAAATTAATTTTAAGTCAAAAGAAAATATTATAGCTATCTCTACCTGAGCTGGTGTAAATAATTTCATTGCAAAGGTTTGCCTAGCTCACATGCATAAGAAGCTGTCCTTGGGATGTCAGAAGATGTTATGTCCCAACCTCCAGTTTCTATTAACTGAGAGTTTGGGAGGGTTAGTTAGGCCCAGTCTGTTTTCTGCTTTCAGTATAGTTTCACAATATGACTGTTAATCCTGTGGAGAATGGAAACGGTCTGTTATCAACTTTTGTAAAAATGCAGTCTGGGGACCTCATGATGCCCAGCAGAAAGTCCTTTTGTCCACCACAAAAATCATGATTAAAACACTACCTCACTGGTTATGCTCAAATATAGTGTGATAAATGCCACTGAAAACTAGACCGTCTGAAGACTGTTACTAAGCTCGGTTGAATGACCTTGGTTTGTACAGTCACCCCAGGCTGACTTAATTCTTGGAGCCATCCACAAAGATTCAAATAGTTGAGTGACTTGTGGGCCTTGCTGACTTCTTAGGCCTTGCTGGACAGTCTCTGATTCTTAGAGTTAACGCAACAGAGTGGACTCTTGCCACTTTGAGCCACCCTCTAAACTCATTGCTTCAGCGCTGTCCGTCTTTGTCAGTTCTTTCCTGAATACCATAGTTTGTGGTCATTTTCCCCATTAGTTTCTTCAGCCTAAGTAGATGTGGTACTTGGTTGGCTCCTATGGCATAGAGGGTCTGCTAGGGAGGCACTTGGGAGCATCACTCTGTCCTGTCTTTGAGCAAGGTGCCACACACAGTGGGAATGTGTGAAGGCCTCTCTCAGGAGCTTGGGGTTTGCTGTAGGGAGAGACAGGGAGAAGGCTTAAATTGTATACAACAGTCCTCTCCCCCTAGATTAATTTTACTACCTCAGTAAACCTGGGACCTCTTATTTATTTGCTCTTTTTTGGAATCTAAAATGCTAGTTCTCAGTAGGTGATTTCTATACTCAGGAAGTGGTAAAGAGGGTCACAGAGTTTGACCTGGGCTACAAAGAAAGTTTCAGGTTAGTATGGCTGCATGATGAAACCCCATTGCAAAGAAGAAAGATGTTAATTCCTTTTCTTACTGTTTTTTCTTTGTCTTCTGGTACATCCTGAGCAGCATATGGTGTCTAAGAGTAGCCATAAGAATCTACAGGAGGGGCTGGAGAGATAGCTCAGCGGTTAAGAGCACTGACTGCTCTTACAGAGGACCCGGGTTTGATTCCCAATATCCATATGGCAGCTATGAATCATCCTTAACTCCAGTTCCAGGGGAATCTGAAGCCCTCTTCTGACCTCCATGGCATTGCACGACACGGGTGCACTCACATACATACAGGCACTGCACTCATACACACAAAATAAAAATAATAAAATACTTTTTAAAAAAGAATGTACATGAAACAAAACAAGGCCAAAAAAAAAAAAGAATCTACATCAAGATCTTAAAAATAATGACTCACTGAAAACAGAACAGTGGTCTTTAGGATCAGAGCAGCTGTTAATTCTGTATTCTTTCATTGGTATGGAACGTCCATCAGCAAAGCTTACTTCAGTGGGAGGAGCAGAGCCCTGACCTCTCAGCGCCTTTGGGTGGAACAGAATCTCCCACTGCATCTGGCTGAGGAGCAGGAGAGGCTATGGACAAACTGACCCTGGCATCTTATGTGACTAATGGAGGATTTCCTCAAATGGCCAGGGTTCTGCTTCCAAGAGGAAGCTGTTTCTTCCTTTTCTACCCTCACTGTCTACCAGGGTCTACTCTTGGTGCTTCCCTGTCACTTGCCGCCCACACCGTCCACCTGAGCTCCTTTACCTTTGTTGGTCACTGTGAGAGATACCAATTCCATTTCCTTCTCAAGCACTTGGAAGCAGGTGGCTCAGCCCTGAGTTATACACACAA